CATTTTCATCAATATAGTCTAGATTATTAGATTTTTCGTTTAATTGTTATTCATTTTTTTTTTTCTTTATTGCAGGAGAATTTAGTCATGATATTGATTTTATTGGGCGCTTTCGCGGGAGCAAGCCAATGTTCGATTCATCCGAAAAAGTATCCAAACAACTCGACCGAGACTTTGCTAAACTTCGACGTCACAAAGTTCGGAGCCATCGGCGATGGGAAGACATATGACACTAGAGTAAATCATTTGTTCTTATATATATAACTTTAACTAAATATTCTTCTCCAATATTTGTTCTTATATATAATAAATTGTAATGTACACTAGTACGCTACCCGCGCGATGCGCGGCCTGATGTTATAAGTGATGTGGGTACATAATAATTTAAATGAATGAAAATTTATTCAATAAAAAGTAGAATATTTTTTTTTTATTTATCACATCTTAAAATTTTTATTAACAAAATTTATAACTCTAGAAACAACAATAATGTGCGACGATATGTGATTAAAACATAGAATATGTTTTTCCTTCAAATTTTTAAAATTAAATTCATTAAACTTACAAAAAAGAAACTTATATGTGATATTCAACATAATAAAGTATTTGTCATATTAATTTCTTGATATTTTTTTTATTTATAAAATTGTCTCTTTAATAAAATAGTTTTCATTATCTTGAAACAAAATAAAGTCATTGTTCCTATTATACAAATAAATTGTTATACACATAATTAATGTTAACATATATGAGTCAATTAAAATTAAGAAACATAAATTGAAAGCTTGATTAAAAAACAAAAAAACGGCCCAACTTTTGTTCTCATGTATTTAGTTTTAAATTAGACCTACATATTTTATTTTTCATTAAAAAAATTAAATATCAGCAATTCGCTTTTAGTAAAATAAGGGCGATATGAGAATGATGTGCATAATGGATCATTTTGTTGTAAAGTTACAGATAAACCGTTAATCGTTAATTGTTCAAGTAAATAACATATTACTTGTTTTTCACTTGGAACTCATAAGAAATGTAATTTACTATAATTTTAGAAATGTACATGGACAGAATTTTGGTAAAGTAATAAGAAAAAAAATTTAAATCATATTACATAAATTCTAAAATAATAAAAATTATTTGTTTAAACAAACATTAATGATATATGATAAGAAAAAAGTAGTTGATATATGAGTTCTACGAATAAAAATTTAATAACATTGACCACAATATGTTATTTTATTCATAAAAAAAAAAAAAAATACAGTTACATACTTGAAGATCGATAAAAGTTAAAATGATGATAGTTTCTTTAATAGCAAACTGTTAGATTATCTCAAATTTTAGACCTATATAGAACAAATGATACCAACTAAAAATAAATTAAATTAAATACCACCGAAATCAATATAAAGACCTTGTATAATATAGATTTTCACTGAATAATAGAATAATAAATATATATTTTCTTACCCAGTCTTCAAAATAAAAATCACGCCATTACTGTTCTCTCTTTCTTATGGTCGGGATACACTCACTCTTTCTGTCATTATTTTCTTTCTCTTTTTTTTTTCTCCTTTCACAATACTCATTTCGTATCATTACCCTATCGCTTATCCATAAACGAAACCTAACTTCATGTCATGTTCTAACACAAAATCATCTCATTTTTATTTCGCATACAAACTTAACAGTGTATGTCCGTCTAAATGTGAACAGTAAGAAAACATTAGGTCTATATATCAAAATATATATATTTTTTTAGACTTTTAAGATATTTTACTTCCAAATTATATTATTGAAACAATCAAAATGGCAACAGTCAATGTTAGGTCAACACCAACACTTACTTTGCATGGAATTTATGATAATTTTAATTTAACTT